ATATGATTTTTCTTATTCAGAAGAAGTTTATTGACAGAGAACCATTTTTGGACTAGATTAAAATCAGATTGTATTGAGTATTGAATTTGTGAAATGTCCGAACTGAGGAGTATATTACAGTGTCATCTGCATATAAATGAATTTGACAGTCAGAACAGACTGGTGAGAGGTCATTGATGAAGATAGAGAATAATAGAGACCTAAAGATGAACCTTGTGGCACACCTTTATCAATAATCTGAAGTCTGACTGGCTGCCTGAAAAAAACCACATTGACTTCTATAATGAAGAAAAGAGTTGAAAACAACAAAGAGTCAGTAGAGAAACCAATAGCATGTAGTTTTCTAAAAGAAGATAGTGATCAACCATGTCAAATGCTTAGCAAGTCAATAAATATAGCACCTGTAGACATTTGCTGTCAGATGCTGACTGTATGTCATTGGTGAATTTTAGGAGAGCAGTGGGTCGAGTGGTTTGGTCTAAAACCAGATTGGTGTGTTGATAATAAGTTGTGATCATTAAGATATTTAGATAATTGATTAAAGATGAGTTTTTCAAATATTTTTGCAATGCTATTAATAATTGAGATAGGTCTATAATTATTGATGTCCGTGGGGTCACCCCCTTTATGGAGAGGGTTACTCTGGCACATTTCCAGGAAGAGGAGTTTTACCAGTTGCAAGAGATGAATTAAATAAATAGCCAGAGGAAATGATAAAATATGAGAGGCAAGTTTAAAGAACTTAATCTCCAGACCATCTGGACCAGCACTGCATCCAGAGCTTAGACCATCAGTGACTGTTGGACATCAGTTGGTGTGATAGTTCTGAAGGAAAAGGAACTGCCACATCTGTTCTGAGTCGGGTAAAGTCAGAGTGCGAATAACCAGACAGGGAGCTACCAATTGTAGAGAAGTGTTGGCTAAATGCCTCTGCAATTAATGATGGTTCACTGACAGTTTCATTGTTTATTCTGATACGAGTAGTAGGATTTTTGTGGGTTTATTGGTTATACTATTGATTCTCTTCCAAAATTGCTTTGGGTTCTTAAAATCAGTTGACAGACAGTCTTTGTAATAATTTGCCTTAGCATTTCTAGTATTGGTTTTACATTTATTCCTCAGCTCTTTATAAGCATTCCAGTCAGAAGAATTATTTGTTACACGGTATTTTTTCCAAGCCTTGTCTCTTTGTTTGAATAAGTGTATAAGATCTCCTTTTATCCAAGGTAAATGTCGACCCTTGACTTTAATTGTTGTCCAGGGAGCATGTTTATTAATTATCTCAACAAGCTCAGTATAAAAGTAATTCCAGGCATCTTCAACGAATGGTATTAGTTGAAATCTTTCCCAGTTGATGTTTAAGATATCTTGAATATAAAGTTCAGAGTTAATGTTATTAGTTTTCCTTACTTGGATGAATTTAGGAGGAAGATGAGGCACTTTGATTTTCCAAACACAAAAAACAATAGAATGGTCACTGAAAGAGTCAGGTAATACCCCAGATTGTATGATTCTGTCGGGATGGGAAACTAGGATCCAATCAAGTAGAGAAGACGAACTGGGACCAACTCTGGTAGGTTCACTTATAAGTTGGGTTAAATTTATGCCGTTGAAGAGATTGCGATCATTACGGGATGAGCGATCTGCCCAATTGGAGTTGAAATCACCTAATATGATTTTTTCACTAGTGCAGTCTAAAGAATTAATGGTTGATAGGATACATTCAGTTGTTTCAGCAGGAGCATTGGAGGTTTATAGATATTTCCTATGATAAGTCGTTTGTTCTCATGTAAAATAATTTTAACAAAAAGGCATTCAAAACGCGAGGATTCTCAGTTGGTAAAATAAGTTCTGCAGTCAAATTTGAGGATACATATATCAAAAGACCCCCTCCTCTTGAGCCCCTGTCTTTTCTATAAAGGACATAGTTATCAATTGTGACTTCATCATCAGAAATATTGCTGTTTAACCAGGTTTCAGAAAGAGTAATTACATGAGGTTTATTATAGGTGAGCCAGGCTCTCAATAAGTCAATTTTAGGTGACAAACTCCTCATGTTCAAGTGAATAACATGCATACCTTTAATAGAGTTCATTATTCTGAGATGATGTGAAAATAAATATGCAAGTAAGGTGGCAGCAAAAATGCACACACACACACACACACACACACACACACACACACACACACAGAGGTAAGAGGTAAGTGTATTCATACTAAATGATATAGTAGGCCTTTATGAAGTCATCTGATGACATACTAGAAAATAATAAAATAATAGAAACCTCAGATGCTTCATAATTAATTTACTTCATCATTCAGAGTTTTCACTGATTGTAATAAATTATTGTAAGGGTCTATCCCTTCCCATCAACTTAAAATAGCCGAACTCTTTTAGTGTTACACAGTTTTACGGCATTTGTGACACATTTTACGGCAAACACTAGTAAGGCAGCATCCATCACAGCAGCCCAACGCCCGCTTTGTAAATCAAAACAGAAAACACAAACAAACAAAAAAACTTGCCGGTCCAATGGTAAAATAATTACAAGAAGGGAAATAGACAAAAGAGTTCACCTGACGGTGAAATAAAAATGGAAAGGGAAAATAAACAAAAAAGTTCATCAGCCTCTTTTCAGAGTTCTGTGCTAACGTTAGCACTAGCCACTAGCGTTAAGCTGTCATGTCAGAGTCAATGGAGGAATCAATGGAGGAAAGTTCACCAAAAAATGTCTCAGCTTCATCAGGTGTGCGAAGAAAAAGTGTCTTACCAGCACGGACAACTCTCAACGTGCAGGGAAAGATCAAGGCGTATTTGATGTCTCTGTCACGGAGCTTTTTCTTAACCGCATCAAAACCCCGGAGTCTCTGGATCAGACCAGCGGAGAAGTCCGGGTAGATATAAACTCGAGCTCCTTTGTACTGAGGGGGCTCCTTCTTCTCCCTGGAGAGTTTCATTATCTTCATCTTGTCCTGGAAGTAGTGGAGCTTTACCAAGATCGGCCTGGGACCCTTGGCTCTGGAGTTATCCTTGACAGCAGTACGATGACAGCGCTCGATCACCGGAGGAGAAATCCGCTTCACCTAGAAGCTGCGGATCAGACGACTCATAAAGCCAAGGATGTTATTACCCTCGGCCCTCTCGGGGATGCCGATGAAGCGGAGGTTGGAGCGTCTGCTTCGGTTCTCAGCGTCTTCAACCCGTGCTTTCAGGTCAGTGTTTTCTTTTTCGAGCACTTTTACACGTCTGGCCAGGTCTGTGATGTCATCCTCGTTCGAGCTAACTCTGTGCTCAAGCTCGTTGACCTGCTCTCCAGTTGACCTGCTCTCCAGTTGACCTGCTCTCCAGTTGACCTGCTCTCCAGTTGACCTGCTCTCCAGTTGACCTGCTCTCCAGGCACACTAAGAGAGCCATCTATTTTGGTCAGACTAGCTCCAAGTTGATCCATTTTAGTGTCCATGTGTGAAATCATGTCAAGCTTCATGTGCTGCATCATATCCAAGACACTTTGGAGAGTCATTTGCGCATCACCCATTGTGAGGCCAGCAAACTTTTTCCCTCAATATAAGAAGGATGTGGTCCAATAACTCGTTGGTTTGATGCTGAAGGCTGCTATAGTTTACGTTTTTTGATTCACCACAAGCAGTTCATTAGTATCAGCAAAGTTTAGAGTGGAAATATAAATCTCAGCGACCTCAATAGACAAATAATTGAGCCAGCAGACTGCAGCTTGTAGCACCCACTCACGTCATGGCAGCCATTCTAAGTACACACTAGTTGAATAAGTGCTGAGCAGTGGCTATTAAATATAAGCAGCAAAGTAATACAGGTATGGACATTCTGAGACAATAATGAAAACAAAAGAGCAGCGTAATGCGAGCTATTCAATCATGTTCACTTTCATTATACAGCTACATTAAACTTGTATTTTTTCCTGTAGATCAAGCCAACCTTTGTTCCTGCAGTGGTGTCGACCTGTGTCTTCCTCCACAACCTCTCCATCAACAATGGGGATTTGGTGGAGCCAGAGGTGGAGGAGGGGGCCTTCCATGACCAGGGTGATGACCACTGGGACCACCCTGATGATGCCAGGAGACAACATGAGGAACAGGCTGGCAGCAGAAGTTTTTGCACCTATTGGGGTCATCCAAGCACTGCAGGACCATAACTACTAACATATATATTTTCATTTCCACTACTTTTATTTATGGAGATTTAGGTTTTGTTTGAGCATGCTCACATTGCATTTTCTGTTAATAAAAGTGCCTGTTTCACATTTTGCCTATTTGGATTTCACTTAGAAGTGTCTGTGTTTTAGTCGTTTCTGTACAGGGGAGGGAGGAGAGACCACCACTACATCCTGAAGAGTCAATGGTGACCGGACGTGTTATTGAAGGCCTCCGACCCAGTGCCTCGTCCATCAGGGCATACCATTTCCAGGATGCAGCGGTGGCCTCTCCTCCCTCCGTGTTCACTCCCGTTTTGGGGACACACACACACACCACACACACACACAGACACACACACTTGTGTAAAGGCTACATTAAAGTCATTGCAGGTGATCTCACACCTTTGGAAGGCAGCAGCTTACTTATGCCTACCTTGTATTTTTGTTTGAGGTTCTCCCACTTGTGCTTGATCTTCCCCGCGTCCACTTTCCCCACCAGGGCACGCTCTCTAGGGGGCACTGGTATGATAGAACTGATCCAAAGGGCACAAGACCAAATTTGGACTCCACCATGGTGAGTTCCTCAAGTCCATGAAGAATCTTACAGATCCCCAGCTGTGGCTGAATGTCTTTCAATTTCTCTCCAACAGACATCACACCCGGGTCAGGAAGGGGCCCTACCACACAAGATTATATGAGGATTCATCGCTTATATTTTGTGTGTTTTTAATAGAACTGCCAACTTGCTCTTCCTTATAATCATAACCTCGTGTTGATTCCTGACCTGGGTCCGAGGCCTGTGCCAGGTCTGCAGTCTGTCAGTGCAAGACACATGTAATGGCACAATCTTGTAGTTCGAGGTGCTGAAACGGGCACTTAGATAAAGAAGCCCCACCAAGTGGTTCCAAAGGGCTCTCCCTGCAGCACAGGAACAAGATGTGGACCTTATCACTATGGGAACCTTGGCAGCTTCCAATGTGATCTGTTAGGGGAAGTAACAAAAACAATTACAGGTTTTCACAACCAAGAAGATTACTATTACAACACATCATAGAATATGATAGGATACAATAAATATGCTCTTAATTTAATATTCATTTGGTGTCTCATGATGCCTTGGTCAGGAGTAATGGCAGGAGTATGTACCAAACATACATGTGTTTTTAGATTGTTGAAATGTAGATTAAGGTCAGTAACAGGTTTACCTTAGATCAAGAAATACTCAAGAACATACGAATTGTGTGGAGTGATTTTCATTTGAACTTTGACTACAGACAGGCAACATCAGACAGCAAGAACAGCAACCTAAAATGATTTTAACATGGAAACAACAGACTGCAACTGTAGTAAAGTTACCTTGATGACACTTTAACAGTCACATCAGACTGTAGTAAAGTTACCTTGATGACACTTTAACAGTCACATCAGACTGTAGTAAAGTTACCTTGATGACACTTTAACAGTCACAACAGACTGTAGTAAAGTTACCTTGATGACACTTTAACAGTCACATCAGACTGTAGTAAAGTTACCTTGATGACACTTTAACAGTCACAACAGACTGTAGTAAAGTTACCTTGATGACACTTTAACAGTCACATCAGACTGTAGTAAAGTTACCTTGATGACACTTTAACAGTCACAACAGACTGTAGTAAAGTTACCTTGATGACACTTTAACAGTCACATCAGACTGTAGTAAAGTTACCTTGATGACACTTTAACAGTCACATCAGACTGTAGTAAAGTTACCTTGATGACACTTTAACAGTCACAACAGACTGTAGTAAAGTTACCTTGATGACACTTTAACAGTCACATCAGACTGTAGTAAAGTTACCTTACCTACTTCAACCAATAATGATTCACGTAATATTACTTTATAACATACCTTAGTTAATATAATCATATTATCATTCAGTGATCTTATTTTTTTAAGATATAGCCTATGAAACAACAATATATATAAATCTATTGTTCAACAAGTTTGAGGACTTACGGGAACTACAAGTCCAGGAAAAAAGAAAGATTGAAAGAAAGATTGAAAGAAAGATTCTTAAAGCACACCAAGCACTTCACCTTCAAATCAAAATAATAAGCCATCGATAATAAACACAAAAAAATGATGATAGTGACAGAAACAGTAACAACTAATATGAGAGATTCAGCGCTTCAGTACATAAAAGCTTTGTAGCTTAATGGTGGCAAGTTGCGAATAGCTGTAACAGAAAATCAGCCAATAGGATTAAAGTATCTTTTTGTTTTTTTCCAAGGTGTTCGAATGCTGTCTTAGTGCAGGTTCAAATCCCCACTGAGACAAATCTGAGATGTGATTTAGGCTATGATTGTAATTCGTTGACATACTTCAGGAGTCAGTTATTGGCAACTGCACATGGGAAATTCGATTGTGATGAAACACATTGTTTAATATTGACTTTAATAGATTCCCTTTGTTGTTACCTTGTTTATTGAGAGTGAAGTACCTGAAGTACATGTATAAATCATTTTAGTTTAAAAATCTAATTTACTACTATTTACTAAGATCTGAATATGTCATTGATTTCCTTGTTTTGTATACAGATTAAATCATGCACACCTTCTAAAAAGTAATATAAAAGTTTGAAACCGCATTAAAATGTCCATGTTGGTGAACTGGCAGCAGTACATCTTAGCATATTTATTCAGACCCCATAAAGCATATGAGACAGAAGGTTTTGTATATAAATGGCACATTTAAGTTGAAAAGAAGCTATATTATTTTAATTCCAAGCAGTAGAAAAGACAATAAATTTCAATTTTTTCATGAAAATAGTTTAATTTACAAGCAAGTTATAATGGATGGTGGGTGGAAGTAGGGTGGTACAAGATAAAAAGCAGCATCAGAACATTCAGTGAAAGTTATAAATACAAGGTTAATTTAACATCCTCTTAAACCAGTGAAAAAAAAACCAGAAAAAGTTTGGGAACCACTGTCTTAAACACAGAGATATAAGAGCAGTCCAATTTCAATATTTACAAGTAAACACTTTCATATTTATATATATATACATACATCTATTCAACAATATTTTTTTATTTACACAGAACAAAAAACAATAACTATATAAAAACTTTGAATAGTTTACTGTTTCCTTTCATCCACCCATCTTTGTCTCTCTGCCTCATAGAAAGGAGACACATGAAACTCTTTCCAGCTCATCTCTCTGGCCATTCCCTTATTGCGGTACAAAGAGTATACTTTAGATGGGCAGTAGATGTATTTTCCTGCCACTCCTGGGAAGCCCGAATGGATGTGTGGGCTGTTCGGCCCCTGTTTCAGTTCCAGGTGACAGAATCTGCAGAGGCGGCCAGCTTGATGGGGGTCTGGCCGTTTCCTTTTTTTTTCCACTTTCTCTTCCACGCGTTTTTTGGTTTCCTCCAGCTCCCTCTGGAAGAAATCTGTACTTGCAAACTGCTCAAAGGGCATCTGGGCATCTGAAAGTCCCTCAGCAGCATAACTTTGATGCACCTTCTTTGAACAATAGAAATAGCGCACAGGCCCCTGTTGGAAAAAATGGTGGATGGAGGATCCATCAGTCCTGTATCGAGACTTGGGCTGTCCACAGGCAAGACACGTCTTCGTCTGCCTTTTCTTCTGCTCTGGCTGGGGCTGCTGTTGTTGCTGTTGCTGCTGCTGCTGCTGCTTTTCCAAGATGCCCTCCACAATTTTCTCAAGGGAGTCTTGGGTTAGAGGTGTGGACTGGGCAGGTGTAGGGGGCTTGACAACAGCTGCCTCCATGGTGACCACAGGAACACTAGATGTGTCACTCCCCTCTGTTAAAGAGTGCCACAGCTGCTGAGTGTCCAGAAGTTTTTCCTGGCTTGTGTTTAAGGAGGAACTAGTGTCCAGAAGTTTTTCCTGGCTTGTGTTTAAGGAGGAACTAGTGTTCAGAAGTTTTGCCAGGTGCTTCACATAGCGAGATATGTGCAGCCTGGTTGTGGGGTGCAGCAAGCTGTTTGGATCTGTGGCTGACTGATGGACCATGTCTGCGTAATCTTGATCCACAAGCTTCAGGCGGTCCTTCTTTCCATGGTGCTTCTGCAGCAAACTGTCAATAGCCACTTTCATGGGTGCTGTCCAGCGTGTGTGGTCCAACACAAAAACTCTTCCGCCAGTTTTTATGGGTCCAGTGCGGGCACTCCTTGGTGAGGAACTCAGAGGCAGCGGCAGGGCATGTGAGATTTCTGGAACACATAAAGCAACAATAGTTCCTCAGTTGATAATGTTATTACAGTACAATATGATGCTAAATAATATGTCCAAATCATTATATTTACTTTATGTGAATATATGTTTACACATACTTGTTTTGACATATCTATTCTGTACATAGCTTTATTTATACAATATACTGATTGTTTTACTCATTGCTTTAAGTCTTATGTATAATTCTTATTTTACTCATATTTATATTCCTGTTTTTCCTACTGCTATATGGTGAGCAACTGTAATGTTCGAATTTCCTGTGGGGATTGATAAATTATTTCTGATTCTGACATACCCATTGCTGCTGGAGGATCCTGGACTTCTTCTGGAGGCATCTCCTGCTTTGGCAGTGCACCAGCAGAGAGTGGATGGCCGATTGATGGTGCTGGTCCAGGGAATGGCACGCCAGAGGGCAGTGTCCGACTGGAGGAGGGTGCCACGTCTGGAGCTTTATCTTCAGCAGGAGCAGCAGGTGTCTGCAGGGGGGGCGGAGGCATAAGAGCGGCAGGCTCATCTCTCTTTAGAGTTCTGTGTTTGTCCCAGTCCAGTGGGACTGGACGGCAGCCCGGCTCTCTGTACTGAAGGCCAAACCTCTCTCCAGTGTCCCTGTCTGAGAGGAGAAATGCAGCATACTTCTCCTGCCCTGTCACTCTCATGGAAGCAGCATTTAACTCGCACATTAAAGCTGGGTCAAAGACAGCAGGGAGGTTGACACCTGGCTGTTTAAGGTCCACCAGCCGCTGGTAGTTCCATCGTGCTACCCCTGTCATGCCCTGGGCCTGGAACAATTCAGGGGAGACATGAGTGCCAGTGACCCAGTGAGCCTGGTGGAAATGGTACCCCTCTTGCTGTGATGTACCTCTGACAGGGATCCAGATTGGGACTTTGGCACCTTCACCAGGTACGTGGTTCAGCTGAAGAGTTCCTCCGTACCTGTACATTATGCCCTCGGAGAGTTCAGGGTCACTGAGGCACCCACGGAGAATGTGCACTCTCTGAATTCGCCATGTCTTCAGCATGGATGGCTTAAAGAGTGGGACATTGTTAGGGTCCGTCGCCAGGTGAAAGTGACTCAGGACTCTCTCCACTCTGTCCAGCAGCTCTGTTGGATGGGGTATTTTAATCCTGCAGTGCTCCCGTGTGTGTTGTTTAGTGGGATTGGCTGGATGAATACCACAGAACCTATAGGCATCCTGGAGCCTTTTTAGGTCTTCCTGATCTACAACACAGAAGGCAGCAGAGAGGAGCTGGCAGAAAGTGCTGAACAGAGGGTGATGCTCAGAGGTGCACTCCCGTGAAAAGCGCCTCAGACAGTGAAACAAGTCCAGTTTCACAACAATGTTGTCGTTATAATGTGATCGTGAGGCACAGGTGTTCAACTGCCGGTCGCTCCAGCAACAATGGACGGGGTAGTCTTCCAGGCATCCCAGTGCAGATGTTCACCAAGGATGCAGTCAGGGATCTTAAATGCAGCACAGCAATCCCTAATGTAAGGCACAAAGACACAGAAGAATTTAAAAAAAACATTTAAGAAACTAAATTGAATTAAATATAAATAAATTATTTTTTTTAATTACAGAAAACTGTGCCAGTTTGAATGAGATTGAAAACAGAAGATGGCTGTGCTCACCTGTCCATCCAATGGTAGCCTGCCTTTTCCACTCCAGCATTGCTGTACCTCTTGGCCATCCCCTGGTACATTGCCTCCAAGGACCTCTCAGTCTCAGACTGAACCATCACCCAGGAAACAATGAGCCAGTGTTCATTCATTACAGCATAACTAGACATCACCCCAGAGGCCAAGGTCACCTTCCTTGCCACTTTCCTGGTGTGGTCAGACCTGAAAACATGCCCAAATGTTCCCTGCAGGAGCCTGGACATAGCTGGCTCTTGACGTCTAAACTCCTCTAGCAGGCAGTCAGTCAGGTAGAAACCGGACACAGAGACTCCACCCCAGCCATGTTGCTCGTCATATGGCCCAAAAGTGCGTGGCTGGTTGTCTTTTCTTAGAAACTGCCCAATGGTCCTCTGACCATACACTCCAGCCTCACCATCTCTCACATTCTCTATGGCTTGAAGGTATGCCAGGTGAGCTCGCTCATACTTCAGGTGCATGAGCTCATTCACCTGGTTGGCCATATCAGTTGGTGACTTGCCAGTGCGCCTCAGCTCATCCATGACAGACTTACAAATGGCCTTCTTGTAAGTCAGGATTGCAGGCAGAAGGTTGGTGAAGCGCCTGGGCAGTTTCTCCAGCCATCGCGGACTGTCAGCTAACCAGTTCTTTCGGCAGACCGCCGAAAGGAGGATAAAATATTGGCCACTGGTGCCGACAATCACCCGAGGCCTGCCCACCCCTGCAGAGACCACCTGTGGATGAGGACAGCCATGGAGACAGGGCAGGATGTAATTGTTCCTCAACCTGACCATGATGTCACTCTCAGGTTTCCAAATGAAAAATGAGTGGAGCTGAAAGAAGTTGGGGGATGGGAGCTCAGCCACCGACTCTATCAGCTCAGGTTGTGGAGGAAGACGCCACAATGAAATTGTGTTCCCTGGATTACGCACTGGACGAGACCCAGGCCACAGCCCGAGATCCTGAAGCTCTGTCCTCATCCAGAGCTTCTGTTGCTGTGAACAGCTCCAGCTGCTCATGTCATGGTCATGCCCAGGCACAGGAACAGGAACAGGAACAGTAACAGGAACAGGAACAGGGGGCTGAGCTGAGTCAACGAGGGTTTAAAAAAAGAAAGACAATAGAACATAAATAATAATTATTATTATTTTGGTTCAGATAATTATTAAAGGTTGCATAGTTTAAAGCAGAATTAACAGAACATGTTAGTGTCAGGAGTCAGGAAAATGGAGGGAATGTTTACATTCTCTACGTTCTTACCATCTTCAGCTGATGAAAAGTCTATTTTCATTTTGTGCAGAGGTGCGAGCAGCACTTGTGCTGGGTTCTGAAAAAGGAGTGCAGTCTTTCTGTTATACATTTGTACAGGCTATAAACATAAAGACATGATGACAAAATATAAAGAGATTGTGAAAATCATACTCAGCTAGCTGTGCATTAAGCAGATATGAACATCAGCCCTACACTAAAATGGAAACATCCTGTACCTGGAGTTGACTTAGGCCTCTCTGGTTTTGTGGGACCAGCAGTCTCCTTGACTAGGAATGCCAGCTCTGGTGGAAGGGGCACAGGTGTCTTCCTTTTCACACCCGATGAGGCTGATGCAGCTACAGGAAAGTTAAAAAGCTCATCATTAATTTCATGAAATTGTGATTATTTTACACTTAATCACGTTATCCTCCTTATCCGACATCAATCTCTTGCCTTATGTAGGCTTGTACATATTAGTTTATTGTTTGTACATAGACAACATAGTGTACTGGAATCTAATTCCTTGTATGTATAAAGATACCTAGCTAATAAAGCTAGTTTAGATTCTGATTCTGATACAAGAACAGTATTACAGTATTTGTACCTTCAACCTGTGATGCCTGCAGTGTAGTAGTAGTTTTGGGCAGAAGTTTGGACAGCGTTGCGGAGGGAACTAGAATAGACAAAATAATCAGTCATTTCAAAATTCACAAAATATGCAAGAGTTGTTGTTAGTAGGAACTCAAACAGTCAAGCTTACTTTTCCTGCTTCTCAAAAATGTTAACTGTTAAATTGTCACAGACACACCAAATTAACTTACAATACTAATCACTACTCTCTAGTCTAAGCAGGAAGAGCATTATGACTTAATGAACAAGCATGCATTTAACTTTTTAAATACAACATGCATAGAAAAGAAAATGCTTACTTACCCTCATAGTGTTTGCAATCAATTCATCGTGGCAGTGATCAATTCATAGTCCTTAGGACAGTTATTATAACGCCAGCTAACAGTATTATTAAAGGAACACAGCCGGAACATGGCCAGAACACAAACAACACAAAGAAATAGTTTAAGTCGAGATTCAGTTTTGGGGGGCAATTCATCATGTAAAAGAATCGTACTCCAGTCCTGAAACCTATTATTTAAAAACCTGTCTTTGCTCCTGCGGACACTCCTGGTATGGCAGCTGCTGGTATGGATGCTGCTGACGCAGCAACTGGTTACAAACAGAAAATGGGAAATAACAGATATCAGATACAACACAGAGTTTGCCACCGTCAGTTTTGAGAATCAGTCAATGTAATAAAAGTGTACTTACAGGTCTGCACTTGTAGTTTAGAGGATGTCATGCTTATCATTGCACTCTCAAGCTCTTCATCCTCATCCATCACTGTGGTCCAGACAAATATTACAGGGTACAAAAAAAGAATAAGTTTACCCAAATTAGGATAGGTTAAAAGTATTAGTCACATGTCATCAGAAATGGCAAATACAAATATAAATGAATTAATTTACCCAGGGGTTTGGGGACCCTTGAGGCATGTTTGACAGGTGGGGAAGCAGAGGCAGATTGCTGCCTCTTCTGCAGGTACTGCTGCAGCTTGAACATGCGTGTACCTGGGACACAGCTCTTCCCCAAAATGAAGGTTGCATAGCCATCAGCTCTGCTGTCCCAAATCTCCTTCCAGGTGCTCTTAGCACGAGTGCCAAAGCCAACCAGCTGGTCATCTTCCAATGAGGCTGCCATAACAACCCCTCCACTTGCCTCATAGGTTCGGAGAGACTGGATCTCAGCAAAACTGAGGGAATAATTGACAAAGGACTGTAGGCTGTCCTTGCTATGCCCTGCAGTCACACTGTCACCTGATGCTTCCTCCTTTTGCAAGTTCTTAATAAGATACATTGTGTACCCTATATCATTCTCCAAAAGCCACCTGAAAGACTTCCCTTTATACTTCCCAAACTGCAGGATGTAGTCTCCCAGCACCTCCGTACAGTCTGAGGCATCCCCTCCTCTCCGACGGACCACAGCCAGAGCATTCTGCTGAACAAGGTCAGCCCGTATGGGGGCAGACTTGTCCTGCAGAGTGGAGTCCTCCTTAATTCTTCTGGCTTCCTTTGACGGCTCCTAGAGGAGAAATCCGAGTGGTCCCTTGCGGAACACAACACAGACTTTCCCCGGGAAGAACAACACTTTCTTGTGCATCTTTACCTAAAAGAAAATAATAGAATTTTAGATTCATTTTAATCAGATACAGTGAGAAGATATTTGTGAAAAAAATACCAGAATATTTCAGATCACATATTAATCCCACTCAAATAGAAATGGCCAATTAAATATTTTACAGCGGCAAAACTTCTATGATCTTCACTAAAAAGTTCAGAAGGCCAAAAAGACAATAGTTTTTCACACCTTTTTGATCTTCACCTACTCTGGGATCTAAGGGGGAGGAAGTGTGTGTGTGTGTGTGTGTGTGTGTGTGTGTGTGTGTGTGTGTGTGTGTGTGTGTGTGTGTGTGTGTGTGTTCTGTACATCTGAGAGTCTGCCTGAGAACTAAAGGGTAAGATGTGGGGTGGGAGCAGCAGGAGGGGGAAAGCACAGCATGTGTGAGCAAGAATAGAGGGTGGGAGTGAGAGGGGCAGTAGATGTGGGAAAAAAACTGTGTGTGCCTAAGCACCTGAGTTTAAGTGTATGAGTTTGGAGAGGGGCAAATAGGGCAGGAGAGGAGTTCCTATCAAATAATTGAGGAACAAAATGACATTTGATATTGTAGTTAAGACTTAATTTGACTCTGAAAGATAGTGTAACACCATGGTCCTGATAAAAGTTTACTTTACTTGACCATTAAATAGATAACGTTTGTTTGTTAAATCAAGTTTGATAGTGTAACTTATCACGTTATTGCACCAATATTGTCTGACAGAGAAAAGCCGGTAAAGTCCTGCACATAGTCCTGTACATAAACGAAATACCTGCTATAAAACCTCGGGTGATAAGTCCATAAATTGACAGTTTTAAATTTATGCCAAACAAAGTCTCTTACCTTTGATTAGTGAATACTGCGTGATTAGAATTCGAAGAAAGTAGATAGTGTCTTGTCTCCACCGCAGTTCGCTCTGAATGACAGGTTGTGAGGAAGCGCGACTTCTGAAGAACAACTCGGGACAGCGCCACTAAGTCGTAGTGGCCAAAAGTATATTACATCCGTAGTGGTTTAGCACTACCATAGAGAATGAATGGGAAACGGTTTAGGGCTTTTAGCTAAACAATCCTTGACTGCGGCGCGCGGTCGATATAGAGACTCGGGTTCGGTTCCTGAAACCGCCAAATAAGTTTTATGTTTTAACGTTTACTTTATTGGGAGATTATAACTCAAAATGCTCCCGAACAGGAGACGTTTTCCTCTTTCTCACAGGCTCCATTTCTCCAAAAAAAGAGAACCAAAACTACAACTCCCAACAACCAACTAACGCAAACTCACGAGGAGACATGACAAGTGGGTTTCGCTTCAAATCAATGACGTAGACTCGAAGTGAGGAAAGAAAGAAATGCCCCTCCTACTCGACACACGCTTCAAAGCCTCGGTGTAGTGATGTGAAAAGCAGTTCTTTTCAGTGAACTGAATCAGTAGAATCAGTTCAGTAAAGTGATTCGTTCAAAAGATTCGTTCACTGAATCGTTCAGTACTTCTCTGCAGCTCTGTCTGTGAATCAGAATTTAATAAACTGAAACATGGTTTAGTTCTGCTCGCGATCGTACTGAGAACAGCCGGTGGTGAATAATAAACCAATGAGCTGAGAATTTAGTTGATAAAGCTCCAGTTTGCAAACTGAAAGCTGCTAAAACATTCACATTTATTTTCCCCGACCGTTCTGTTCAATATGTTCAGAACACAAATCACTCACTGACTGACTGAGAGGAAGAGAGAGAGGAGGCGGAGCACACACACACACACACACACACACACACACACACACACACACACACACACACACTGTATACACACACACACACACACACACACACACACACACACACTGTATACACACACACACACACACACACACACACACACACACACACACTGTATACACACACACACACACACACACACACACACACTGTATACACACACACACACACACACACACACTGTATACACACACACACTGTATACACACACACACACACACACACACACACACACACACACACACACACACACACACTGTATACACACACACACACACACACACACACACACACACACACACACACACACACACACTGATTCAGTTCAGTTCGTTCACCCAGATGATTCGTTCGTTTTGAACGAATCGTTCATGATCGACACATCACTACCTCGGTGTCAGACGTAACCTCACCAATCTGGACTTTTACCCGAAACTGAATCCACAAATCAGATAAGAGGTAAAAAAAGAACAAAGAATACAGATTAAAGGAACTTTGAGTGACAGGGAGTGACTCCCAGCTGTTCGTCTCCTCGTCTTCAGCTTGAGATAAAATGGCGTCCAAGTTAGAGGAAGATCTGAGCTGTCCGGTCTGCCTCGACATCTTTAAAGATCCAGTCATCCTGTCCTGCTGTCACAGCTTCTGTAGAGAGTGTGTGAAGGACTGCTGGAAGGAGAAGGAGAACAAGGAGTGTCCGGTTTGTAAGAGGAGACAGTCAAAGGATTGGTTACCTCCTAACTTTACTTTAAAGAACCTGAGTGAGAGTTTTGTGCAGGAGAGAGATCAGAGAGCTTCAGAGGATCTCTGCAGTCTGCACTCTGAGAAACTCAAACTCTTCTGTCTGGACCATCAGGAGCCGGTGTGTCTCGTCTGCATTACTTCAGAAAAACACAGCAAACACAGATTCAGACCCATCGATGACGATGCTGGACAACACAAGAAGAAACTTCAGGAAACTCTGGAGCCGGTAAAGAAGAAGTTAAATGTTTTTAAAGAAGTTAAAGTGAAGTTTGATCAAACAGCAGAACACATTCAGGTCCAGGCCCGACACACAGAGAGGCAGATTAAGGAGCAGTTTAAGAAGCTTCACCAGTTTCTAGAAGAGGAAGAGGAGGCCAGGCTGTGTGCACTGAGGGAGGAAGAGGAGCAGAAGAGTCAGAGGATGAAGGAGGAGATGGAGGCTCTGAGCAGAGAGATAGCAGCTCTTTCACACACAGTCAGAGACACAGAGGACGAGCTGAGAGCTGAAGACGTCTCATTCCTGAAAAACTACAAGGCTGCAGTGGAAAGAGTCCAGCAGCGCCCCCTGCTGGAGGATCCACAGCTGCCCTCAGGAGCTCTGATAGACCAGGCCAAACACCTGGGCAACCTGAGCTTCAACATCTGGAACAAGATGAAGGACATGGTCTCCTACAGTCCGGTCATTCTGGACCCAAACACTGCTAATCCAAAACTCATCCTGTCTGAAGATCTGACCTGTGTGACACGAGGAGAGAGACAGCAGCTTCCTAATAATCCAGAGAGGATTGATACTTACTGCTCTGTCCTGGGCTCTGAGGGCTTTAACTCAGGGACTCACAGCTGGGACGTCCAGGTTGGAGACAGTACATACTGGTTACTGGGTGTGTTAGCAGAGTCTGGACAGAGGAAGGGAAAGAAATGGTCTGGATTATGGTTCATATTGTTCAAAGATGGTAAATACACAGCAGACACCCCACCATATCCAGTCACTGCTCTCTCAGTGAAGAAGAAGCTTCAGAGGATCAGAGTGAATCTGGACTGTAACAGAGGAGAGCTGTCCTTCTCTGATCCTGATACTAACACACACATACACACACACACACACACTTTCACTGAGAGGATGTTTCCATACATTGCCACTGGTGATAAACTCCCACTGAAGATGTTACCAGAGAAGATCTCTGTGACTGGTTCTCGCTGGTTGTCTTTATGACAGAGCTCAGATCTGTTTGGTGTAACTCAGGGACTCACAGCTGGGACACTGTGGGGGGGTAGAGTCTGTCCCTGTTCTCTGAGTGAAGAAGAGGCTGCAGAGGATCACAGTGAGTCTGACACCAACACACACTTTCACTGAGAAACAGTTTGCATGCATCAGAACTGAGAGAAGAACTCCCACTGAGGACTTAACCACTGAATCTCTGTGACTGTAGATTTAAAAAAACATCTTGATGATTAGAATCAAATTTCACTCATTTTTCTTAAGCGATATTTGAACACCTTAACAATCAATGATCCATTAATGATGAATAATTAATGAGCCATAAAAAGCTCGTCTTCTTCTCAGTTTATGTTTTGTTGAAGTTATTTTAAACATGAATTCATTAAATACAATCAGTTTGAAATAATTAAACTACGAGGCTCTCTCTTAAAAACAACGTATTGTCATGATTTGGTCTTATGTAGTTTGTATTTTCAGTTTGTCTCCTAGCTTAGTTTCTAGTGTTTTTATTTTGTATTTCCTATACCTGTGTTTCTTTGTTCTAGTGTGTTTTCTTGGTAATGTTTCATTCTTGAGTTCTGATCTCATTCATCTGGCGAAGGCTGCGTTCCATCATTCTTGTAATTCTGCTTTAATCAAACTGGGTGCCTTTTCATCAACTTGTTCATTGGTAGTTTGTTTGTGTGTTTTACTCTGACTTTGATTATCGACCATGTAAAAAAAAAATTAACATAATTAAAAGAAAACAGTCAACAATCTGTCATCTGTCATTTATACATAACACCTGTGGTTGAAATATGATTAGCATGCTAATATTAGTAGTAATTTATTTCATTACATTATGAAATATACTATTAACATTGTAGTATACTTTTTAAGCATTCAGGTTTAATTTTTACACAGCTATGAATAATATGTAATAAGAGAGCCAGCACAGGACCCTGTAACTGCAGCAGCTTGTCCACATGTGGCACATGCATCGTACAGTCAGAAAAGCAGGAACATCTGAGGTGGTAAGACACATAAATATCACAATATGTCATTTTTGTCATTGGTTCATGCACACAATGTGGCATGAAGGAGACAAGCTGCCAACAGGAGAAACATTCTGGCTATCCTATTACAAAATGAAGACCATGTAAATAGGACACATTCAATATTTGTAAGGGTAAACTGGGATTATGTAAGGAAGTTAATGTAAGCTCCTCACCTCAAATATTGAAGGTATATACACTCAGATAAGTCAATAAATACTATTGTGTGACATGTTTATTAGTAACCACTTCATTTCTTAACATTGAATTAAATTCAAACAGTGAATTTCACAGCAAACTGACAACAGTATTATATCAGTAACCAAAAAACACTTCATGAATGATAAAACACTTTTCACTTTGGAAACACAAGTTCAGACACCTGAAACATCCTGTCCCTACTCAGCGTGGACTGTGAGGACAATACCTCTAATTGAACGGCCACAGCGCTACTGTCCGCCTCTACCTGGGAGATGGAGAACTAAAGAAAGACTTCAGTCTGTCAAGGCAGACAGTGAAGGCCTTGGTGGAGTGTCTGGGATACACCAAGGACCATGGCTGGAGCAAAGACCTCGAAGTGGGGATATATTTATACTGGCTGGCCAGTGCCACCTCGTATCGGGTGGTGTCAGGAGCCTTTGATGTCCCCATCACCACGGTTCATGATGTTGTTCATCGAGTCGCTGGAAGTATCATCAGCATCATGAAGAGGGTGGTTCATCTCCCTGCTGCTGATGAGCTAGAGGGAATAGGGGAAGGCTTTGCCCACCTGGCTGGCTCTCATGCCTTCTGCAGAGCGGCTGGCAGCATTGATGGGACACACATTAGAATCAAGCCACCTGCAGCAAACAAAGAAGACTACCTTAACAGGTAACCTGCGTACAAAATACCACTTCATATAAACCTGTTTTTAATCCCATATCAATGTGAGTGGTTATCAATTCCATTTTGTGTTGTTCAACAGGAAGCTCTTCCATTCAGCTGCTGGTGGTGTGTGATCACAAAGGCCGCTTCCTTAATACATATACAGGTAGAAATGAAAGTCAGAAATGTATTAGTACAGCTTACACTGCTTAAGGGATTGTTGATCTAATAAATAATTCAGTCATCAGTTACTGACATTAATACCTCTGGAAGGTTGGGTTAACTTTTTGAGTTTCTCAGGAAAAGGGTGTTGCAGTCATCTCACATACAATGAAAGTGAATGTGGACCAGGACTCACACTTACTGTGATTTGTATTTGTCACCCAACAACTGCAACGTCATTATGTTCATGTGTGAATTTCTACTTATCTCATGATTGTAAACATTGTAATTACTTTAAAAGATGTTGTATAATCACAATTGAATTTGTGATGTCACATTTCAGAAGTGTTTGAGACGGGCATTTTCAACATAATGTGTCCTGTACCATGTCAAGTACAATGACATATTCACAATACATCACCCTTGTTCACAGGACTTCCAGGCTCTGTCCACGATGCAGGGTCCTGCGTGGAGTTCTCTGTACGTACACCAACTCTACCCCCCTCATGGCTGGTGTATTGTTGGGGATGGGGGTATCCCTGCCTGGCTGCACCAATCAGCTTGATGACCCCATTCAGGGAGCCGGTGCAAAACCCTGTTCATGTACGATACAACCGGCATCATGCCAAAGCACGGTGTGTGGTGGAAAGGGCGATTGGCATGATGAAGACGCGGTGGCGCAGCATCTTCCTCAAGGCCCTGGAGGTGAGAGACAGCATTAATGTGTAAATTTGTAATTTGTAATTTATTTCAAGGATAGCCCCTTAAGATGCAGCATCTCATTTTCAAGGGGGTCCTTACAAAACATAAATGAATCATCATAATACAAAATCAAAATAAAAGGTAAATCCAAAACATAATACCAAACATTTAAACACAGAGACACCCACACCACAAACACACACACACTCACAATCACTCACACTTAATGCTCCCCCAAGCCTAGCCACCCACCAACCAGCCAGTATTACACAATCAGAAAAAATCTGAAGAGAAAAAATACATATATATAATAATAATAATAATAAAAAAAGAAAAAAGAAAGGAAAACCTCTGTATATATATATGCATACACACTATACAGGACTTACACACATAGTGTACACAACATTAAGGCACAAGGTACAGAACAGTACATACATGTAGATACACGAGCGCAAGCAAGAGGAGAGCAGGTCCAGACAAACTAAGTCCAACAGAGAAAGAAAATCAAAAGCAAGAGCAGGATGTTTGACAATGAGTATGTAGAGATGATTTAAAGATATGAAAAGAGGTGATAGATCTAAGTGAGCGAGGTAGGTTATTCCAGTCTGATGGAGCTTTAAATTTAAATGCACGGCGACCAATTTCTTTCCTGATTCTTGGTGTGAGGAAAAATAGATGATCAGTATGCCTTAGGCTATACTGTGAACTGAAAGGGATTAGAAATTGTTTCAAGTACGGAGGAAAATTAAAATAGATACATTTAAAAGTAATGAATGAAATGTCCTTCTGGACTTGGGAGCCAGCCAATTCAAGGACTCATACATTAGGCAGTGATGGGTCCTATATGGACACCTCAGAACAAATCTACAGAGACTGTTGAATAAGATAGTGAGAGGTCGAAGATTTGTCTCTGAGGTGTTTCCATAGATAACATCAGCATAATCAAGGATTGGCAGCACCAATTGTGTCACGATTCTTCTCCGGACTTGCAGTGAAAAACATTCAACAGAACGATAAAGTGATTTTAGACGACCATATATTTTCTTAGAAATTGAGTTGATATAAGGTTTGAAAGATAACTGGGAATCTAGCCAAAGGCCCAAATATTTAAATTCATCTACTTTTTCTAATGCTGTTCCATCCAGGAAATTAATATGCCAGTTTTTTGTTAAGGGCAAAGAATCTGGTCGAGTGCAGAACAACATAAAATATGATTTTTTCTTATTCAGAAGAAGTTTATTGACAGAGAACCATTTTTGGACTAGATTAAAATCAGATTGTATTGAGTATTGAATTTGTGAAATGTCCGAACTGGAGGAGTATATTACAGTGTCATCTGCATATAAATGAATTTGACAGTCAGAACAGACTGGTGAGAGGTCATTGATGAAGATGGAGAATAATAGAGGACCTAAAGATGAACCTTGTGGCACACCTTTATCAATAATCTTGAAGTCTGACTGGCTGCCCTGAAAAAAACCACATTGACTTCTATAATGAAGAAAAGAGTTGAAAACAACAAAGAGTCAGTAGAGAAACCAATAGCATGTAGTTTATCTAAAAGAAGATAGTGATCAACCATGTCAAATGCTTAGCAAGGTCAATAAATATAGCACCTGTAGACATATTGCTGTCAGATGCTGACTGTATGTCATTGGTGAATTTTAGGAGAGCAGTGGCGGTCGAGTGGTTTGGTCTAAAACCAGATTGGTGTGTTGATAATAAGTTGTGATCATTAAGATATTTAGATAATTGATTAAAGATGAGTTTTTTCAAATATTTTTGCAATGCTATTAATAATTGAGATAGGTCTATAATTATTGATGTCCGTGGGGTCACCCCTTTATGGAGAGGGGTTACTCTGGCACATTTCCAGGAAGAGGGAGTTTTACCAGTTGCAAGAGATGAATTAAATAAATCAGCCAGAGGAAATGATAAAATATGAGAGGCAAGTTTAAAGAACTTAATCTCCAGACCATCTGGACCAGCACTGCATCCAGAGCTTAGACCATCAGTGACCTGTTGGACATCAGTTGGTGTGATAGTTCTGAAGGAAAAGGAACTGCCACATCTGTTCTGAGTCGGGGTAAAGTCAGAGTGAGAATAACCAGACAGGGAGCTACTAATTGTAGAGAAGTGTTGGCTAAATGCCTCTGCAATTAATGATGGTTCACTGACAGTTTCATTGTTTATTCTGATACGAGTAGTAGGATTTTTTGGGGGTTTATTGGTTATACTATTGATTCTCTTCCAAAATTGCTTTGGGTTCTTAAAATCAGTTGACAGACAGTCTTTGTAATAATTTGCCTTAGCATTTCTAGTATTGGTTTTACATTTATTCCTCAGCTCTTTATAAGCATTCCAGTCAGAAGAATGATTTGTTACACGGTATTTTTTCCAAGCCTTGTCTCTTTGTTTGAATAAGTGTATAAGATCTCCTTTTATCCAAGGTAAATGTCGACCCTTGACTTTAATTGTTGTCCAGGGAGCATGTTTATTAATTATCTCAACAAGCTCAGTATAAAAGTAATTCCAGGTATCTTCAACGAATGGTATTAGTTGAAATCTTTCCCAGTTGATGTTTAAGATATCTTGAATATAAAGTTCAGAGTTAATATTATTAGTTTTCCTTACTTGGATGAATTTAGGAGGAAGATGAGGCACTTTGATTTTCCAAACACAAAAAACAATAGAATGGTCACTGAAAGAGTCAGGTAATACCCCAGATTGTATGATTCTGTCGGGATGGGAAACTAGGATCCAATCAAGTAGAGAAGACGAACTGGGACCAACTCTGGCAGGTTCACTTATAAGTTGGGTTAAATTTATGCTGTTGAAGAGATTGCGATCATTACGGGATGAGCGATCTGCCCAATTGGAGTTGAAATCACCTAATATGATTTTTTCACTAGTGCAGTCTAAAGAATTAATGGTTGATAGGATACATTCAGTTGTTTCAGCAGGAGCATTGGGAGGTTTATAGATATTTCCTATGATAAGTCGTTTGTTCTCATGTAAAATAATTTTAACAAAAAGGCATTCAAAACGCGAGGGATTCTCAGTTGGTAAAATAAGTTCTGCAGTCAAATTTGAGGATACATATGTCAAAAGACCCCCTCCTCTTGAGCCCCTGTCTTTTCTATAAAGGACATAGTTATCAATTGTGACTTCATCATCAGAAATATTGCTGTTTAACCAGGTTTCAGAAAGAGTAATTACATGAGGTTTATTATAGGTGAGCCAGGCTCTCAATAAGTCAATTTTAGGTGACAAACTCCTAATGTTCAAGTGAATAACATGCATACCTTTAATAGAGTTCATTATTCAGCCAAGGATGTTATTACCCTCGGCCCTCTCGGGGATGCCGATGAAGCGGAGGTCGGAGCGTCTGCTTCGGTTCTCAGCGTCTTCAACCCATGTTTTCAGGTCAGTGTTTTCTTTTTCGAGCACTTTTACACGTCTGGCCAGGTCTGTGATGTCATCCTCGTTCGAGCTAACTCTGTGCTCAAGCTCGTTGACCTGCTCTCCAGTTGACCTGCTCTCCAGTTGACCTGCTCTCCAGTTGACATGCTCTCCAGTTGACCTGCTCTCCAGTTGACCTGCTCTCCAGTTGACCTGCTCTCCAGTTGACCTGCTCTCCAGTTGACATGCTCTCCAGGCACACTAAGAGAGCCATCTATTTTGGTCAGACTAGCTCCAAGTTGATCCATTTTAGTGTCCATGTGTGAAATCATGTCAAGCTTCATGTGCTGCATCATATCCAAGACACTTTGGAGAGTCATTTGCGCATCACCCATTGTGAGGCCAGCAAACTTTTTCCCTCAATATAAGAAGGATGTGGTCCAATAACTCGTTGGTTTGATGCTGAAGGCTGCTATAGTTTACGTCTTTTGATTCACCACAAGCAGTTCATTAGTATCAGCAAAGTTTAGAGTGGAAATATAAATCTCAGCGACCTCAATAGACAAATAATTGAGCCAGCAGACTGCAGCTTGTAGCACCCACTCACGTCATGGCAGCCATTCTAAGTACACACTAGTTGAATAAGTGCTGAGCAGTGGCTATTAAATATAAGCAGCAAAGTAATACAGGTATGGACATTCTGAGACAATAATGAAAACAAAAGAGCAGCGTAATGCGAGCTATTCAATCATGTTCACTTTCATTATACAGCTACATTAAACTTGTATTTTTTCCTGTAGATCAAGCCAACCTTTGTTCCTGCAGTGGTGTCGACCTGTGTCTTCCTCCACAACCTCTCCATCAACAATGGGGATTTGGTGGAGCCAGAGGTGGAGGAGGGGGCCTTCCATGACCAGGGTGATGACCACTGGGACCACCCTGATGATGCCAGGAGACAACATGAGGAACAGGCTGGCAGCAGAAGTTTTTGCACCTATTGGGGTCATCCAAGCACTGCAGGACCATAACTACTGACATATATATTTTCATTTCCACTACTTTTATTTATGGAGATTTAGGTTTTGTTTGTTCACAAATATAATTTTTCATGAGCATGCTCACATTGCATTTTCTGTTAATAAAAGTGCCTGTTTCACATTTTGCCTATTTGGATTTCACTTAGAAGTGTCTGTGTTTTAGTCGTTTCTGTACAGGGGAGGGAGGAGAGACCACCACTACATCCTGAAGAGTCAATGGTGACCGGACGTGTTATTGAAGGCCTCCGACCCAGTGCCTCGTCCATCAGGGCATACCATTTCCAGGATGCAGCGGTGGCCTCTCCTCCCTCCGTGTTCACTCCCGTTTTGGACACACACACACACCACACACACACAGACACACACACTTGTGTAAAGGCTACATTAAAGTCATTGCAGGTGATCTCACACCTTTGGAAGGCAGCAGCTTACGTATGCCTACCTTGTATTTTTGTTTGAGGTTCTCCCACTTGTGCTTGATCTTCCCCGCGTCCACTTTCCCCACCAGGGCACGCTCTCTAGGGGGCACTGGTATGATAGAACTGATCCAAAGGGCACAAGACCAAATTTGGACTCCACCATGGTGAGTTCCTCAAGTCCATGAAGAATCTTACAGATCCCCAGCTGTGGCTGAATGTCTTTCAATTTCTCTCCAACAGACATCACACCCGGGTCAGGAAGGGGCCCTACCACACAAGATTATATGAGGATTCATCGCTTATATTTTGTGTGTTTTTAATAGAACTGCCAACTTGCTCTTCCTTATAATCATAACCTCGTGTTGATTCCTGACCTGGGTCCGAGGCCTGTGCCAGGTCTGCAGTCTGTCAGTGCAAGACACATGTAATGGCACAATCTTGTAGTTCGAGGTGCTGAAACGGGCACTTAGATAAAGAAGCCCCACCAAGTGGTTCCAAAGGGCTCTCCCTGCAGCACAGGAACAAGATGTGGACCTTATCACTATGGGAACCTTGGCAGCTTCCAATGTGATCTGTTAGGGGAAGTAACAAAAACAATTACAGGTTTTCACAACCAAGAAGATTACTATTACAACACATCATAGAATATGATAGGATACAATAAATATGCTCTTAATTTAATATTCATTTGGTGTCTCATGATGCCTTGGTCAGGAGTAATGGCAGGAGTATGTACCAAACATACATGTGTTTTTAGATTTTTGAAATGTAGATTAAGGTCAGTAACAGGTTTACCTTAGATCAAGAAATACTCAAGAACATACGAATTGTGTGGAGTGATTTTCATTTGAACTTTGACTACAGACAGGCAACATCAGACAGCAAGAACAGCAACCTAAAATGATTTTAACATGGAAACAACAGACTGCAACTGTAGTAAAGTTACCTTGATGACACTTTAACAGTCACATCAGACTGTAGTAAAGTTACCTTGATGACACTTTAACAGTCACATCAGACTGTAGTAAAGTTACCTTGATGACACTTTAACAGTCACATCAGACTGTAGTAAAGTTACCTTGATGACACTTTAACAGTCACATCAGACTGTAGTAAAGTTACCTTACCTACTTCAACCAATAATGATTCACGTAATATTACTTTATAACATACCTTAGTTAATATAATCATATTATCATTCGGTGATCTTATTTTTTTAAGATATAGCCTATGAAACAACAATATATATAAATCTATTGTTCAACAAGTTTGAGGACTTACGGGAACTACAAGTCCAGGAAAAAAGAAAGATTGAAAGAAAGATTCTTAAAGCACACCAAGCACTTCACCTTCAAATCAAAATAATAAGCCATCGATAATAAACACAAAAAAATGATGATAGTGACAGAAACAGTAACTAATAATAGAAGAGATTCAGCGCTTCAGTACATGAAAGCTTTGTAGCATAATGGTTATAGCAGCGCCACGTCGATATAGAGACTCGGGTTCGGTTCCTGAAACCGCCCAACAAGTTTTATGTTTTAACGTTTACTTTATTGGGAGATTATAACTCAAAATGCTCCCGAACAGGAGACGTTTTCCTCTTTCTCACAGGCTCCATTTCTCCAAAAAAAGAGAACCAAAACTACAACTCCCAACAACCAACTAACGCAAACTCACGAGGAGACATGACAAGTGGGTTTCACTTCCTCTTATCCAAAACCGAAACACAAACAGATCAATGACGTAGACTCGAAGTGAGGAAAGAAAGAAATGTGCCTCCTACTCGACACACGCTTCAAAGCCTCGGTGTCAAACGTAACCTCACTAATCTGGACTTTTACCTGAAACTGAATCCACAAACCGGATAAGAGGTAAAAAAAAGAACAAAGAATACAGATTAAAGGAACTTTGAGTGACAGGGAGTGACTCCCAGCTGTTCGTCTCCTCGTCTTCAGCTTGAGATAAAATGGCGTCCAAGTTAGAGGAAGATCTGAGCTGTCCGGTCTGCCTCAACATCTTTAAAGATCCAGTCATCCTGTCCTGCTGTCACAGCTTCTGTAGAGAGTGTGTGAAGGACTGCTGGAAGGAGAAGGAGAACAAGGAGTGTCCGGTTTGTAAGAGGAGACATTCAAAGGATTTCTTACCTTCTAACTTTACTTTAAAGAACCTGTGTGAGAGTTTTGTGCAGGAGAGAGATCAGAGAGCTTCAGAGGATCTCTGCAGTCCGCACTCTAAGAAACTCAAACTCTTCTGTCTGGACCATCAGGAGCCGGTGTGTGTCATCTGCAGAGATTCAGAAAAACACAGCAAACACACAATCAGACCCATCGATGAAGCTGCTGGACAACACAAGAAGAAACTTCAGGAAACTCTGGAGCCGGTAAAGAAGAAGTTAAATGTTTTTAAAGAAGTTAAAGTGGAGTTTGATCAAACAGCAGAACACATTCAGGTCCAGGCCCGACACACAGAGAGGCAGATTAAGGAGCAGTTTAAGAAGCTTCACCAGTTTCTAGAAGAGGAAGAGGAGGCCAGGCTGTGTGCACTGAGGGAGGAAGAGGAGCAGAAGAGTCAGAGGATGAAGGAGGAGATGGAGGCTCTGAGCAGAGAGATAGCAGCTCTTTCACACACAGTCAGAGACACAGAGGACGAGCTGAGAGCTGAAGACGTCTCATTCCTGAAAAACTACAAGGCTGCAGTGGAAAGAGTCCAGCAGCGCCCCCTGCTGGAGGATCCACAGCTGCCCTCAGGAGCTCTGATAGACCAGGCCAAACACCTGGGCAACCTGAGCTTCAACATCTGGAACAAGATGAAGGACATGGTCTCCTACAGTCCGGTCATTCTGGACCCAAACACTGCTCATCCAGACTTCATCCTGTCTGAAGATCTGACCTGTGTGACACGAGGAGAGAGACAGCAGCTTCCTGATAATCCAGAGAGGTTTGATACTTACTGCTCTGTCCTGGGCTCTGAGGGCTTTAACTCAGGGACTCACAGCTGGGACGTCCAGGTTGGAGACAATACATACTGGTTACTGGGTGTGTTAGCAGAGTCTGGACAGAGGAAGGGAGACAAACTGTCTGGACGTTGGTTAATATGGTTCATGATGGTAAATACAGAGCACGCACCCCATCACATCCAAACACTGATCTCTCAGTGAAGAAGAAGCTTCAGAGGATCAGAGTGAATCTGGACTGTAACAGAGGAGAGCTGTCCTTCTCTGATCCTGATACTAACACACACATACACACCTTCACACACACTTTCACTGAGAGGATGTTTCCATACATTGTCACTGGTGATAAACTCCCACTGAAGATGTTACCAGAGAAGATCTCTGTGACTGTGTGGTCCTGATGTCTCTGGTTGTCTTTATGACAGAGCTCAGATCTGTTTGGTGTAACTCAGGGACTCACAGCTGGGACACTGTGGGGGGGTAGAGTCTGTCCCTGTTCTCTGAGTGAAGAAGAGGCTGCAGAGGATCACAGTGAGTCTGACACCAACACACACTTTCACTGAGAAACAGTTTGCATGCATCAGAACTGAGAGAAGAACTCCCACTGAGGACTTAACCACTGAATCTCTGTGACTGTAGATTTAAAAAAACATCTTGATGATTAGAATCAAATTTCACTCATTTTTCTTAAGCGATATTTGAACACCTTAACAATCAATGATCCATTAATGATGAATAATTAATGAGCCATAAAAAGCTCGTCTTCTTCTCAGTTTATGTTTTGTTGAAGTTATTTTAAACATGAATTCATTAAATACAATCAGTTTGAAATAATTAAACTACAAGGCTCTCTCTTAAAAACAACGTATTGTCATGATTTGGTCTTATGTAGTTTGTATTTTCAGTTTGTCTCCTAGCTTAGTTTCTAGTGTTTTTATTTTGTATTTCCTATACCTGTGTTTCTTTGTTCTAGTGTGTTTTCTTGGTAATGTTTCATTCTTGAGTTCTGATCTCATTCATCTGGCGAAGGCTGCGTTCCATCATTCTTGTAATTCTGCTTTAATCAAACTGGGTGCCTTTTCATCAACTTGTTCATTGGTAGTTTGTTTGTGTGTTTTACTCTGACTTTGATTATCGACCATGTAAAAAAAAAAATGAACATAATTAAAAGAAAACAGTCAACAATCTGTCATCTGTCATTTATACATAACACCTGTGGTTGAAATATGATTAGCATGCTAATATTAGTAGTAATTTATTTCATTACATTATGAAATATACTATTAACATTGTAGTATACTTTTTAAGCATTCAGGTTTAATTTTTACACAGCTATGAATAATATGTAATAAGAGAGCCAGCACAGGACCCTGTAACTGCAGCAGCTTGTCCACATGTGGCACATGCATCGTACAGTCAGAAAAGCAGGAACATCTGAGGTGGTAAGACACATAAATATCACAATATGTCATTTTTGTCATTGGTTCATGCACACAATGTGGCATGAAGGAGACAAGCTGCCAACAGGAGAAACATTCTGGCTATCCTATTACAAAATGAAGACCATGTAAATAGGACACATTCAATATTTGTAAGGGTAAACTGGGATTATGTAAGGAAGTTAATGTAAGCTCCTCACCTCAAATAATGTTTCATTCTTGAGTTCTGTGTCTTTTAGTGTTTCATGACAACACTTCAGAATTCCTGAAAATCGCATTTGAAGTGGAGGAAGAAAAAAAAAAACCTTTTGTGTTCCAAGAGTGCCCTAATAAGAAAAGATGGTTTAGCCTGCTGGTCCAACATTTAGATTTGAGGATGTGAGATTTTGTCACCAACAGAATCATGATGTTGATTATATTTAGAAGGTGAGTAAAACAAAAAAAATCCAAACAATATATTTTCATATACAGGTGAAAATCCAGAGTCAACATGTTGGCAATAAGCGCTCTCAGTGCAATCAGTAAATCTGACGTGGCACGTTTTGGTGACGTCACCAACGTGAGCGGCGACGTGTTTTCCAACTGAGCATGTAACCAGGAAGAGGCTGCTCAAATATCAAGATGTTAACTGGAGTAAGTAGAATTTAAACGTTTTCATTTTTTCTTGTATGAGATATAATGACCAGAATATGTCTCGTCTTTATATGTGGATGAAAAAGTTAATAAATATAGTCCGTTAGCAGGATATGTTCTTCTACTGAGGGGAAACAACTGTCGTGCTAACGTTGCTAATGCTAAGGCTAGCATGCTAATTATTTACATTTCTCTAAGCTTACAATTATTTAACTTCACCGTCACGTTTACAAAACCACGTAAAGATACACACAGCTCCTGATATATAATCTATAACAGTTATTTATGTGTGTTTAAACTTTGTGATCATAACTAGCGACCGTGAGCCGAGAGCTGCTGTTTATGACGGTCGGTGTTTTGGTTAATCGTGTGACCGTGTTAACTGGTGCTTCTTAACTGAATTATTCTGTAGTTGTCGTTTTTACAGCAGCTGTTTTGAAACGTACAGTCCTCGCAGTTGTCAATTTGTTACGTTTTTTTTAATAATGTAAAAATAATACTAATCTGGTGAGACGTTAACGAGTACTTTTACGTTTCCAACGTCTGCCGTAACCACGACGACCACGTACGCTTTCGGCTGACAGTCCACAGTTAACACGGTCACTCGTTTAACCGATACACCAGCTGACGATAGCTTGAGTTAAATACTGTTTTTCCAACTTCAGTACAAACTCGCAAATCTATGGAGGACGAGATCTGACAGAAGTATAAATAAATAAATAATTAAATGCGTCAATAAATAAATAAAAACTGGTAAATAAATGGGACATAAATAATTAAATGTCTTACATTTATTTCTACATTTATTTATTTCAACATTTATTTATTTCCATATTTATTTATTTATACATTTATTTATTTATTTATACATTTATTTATTTCAACATTTATTTATTTCCATATTTATTTATTTATACATTTATTTATTTATTTATACATTTATTTATTTATACATGTATTTATACATTTATTTATTTCCACATTTACTCATTTCTACTTTTATTTATACATTTATTTATTTATACATTTCAGTGTCCGTATGCTAATGAGGTAGGAGGGACTAACGTCAGTCTCTTTCAGGATCGGTCAACTGAGCGATCCTCCATACAAAGTAACATAATCTCTAATATAACGCTGTAGTTGTGTGTTGTGTTTTTGATTATTTATTATAAGCAAGAACATTTTTTAAAAGTGGGTTAGACTAGAAGCTAGCCTCATTTTTATGTAATGCTAACTTCTATCTAGGGAGGACAAAAGTGGCCGTTACAATGTTTGAACTATGATACTATTTTGTTTGTCATCTTTCTCCCTTCATTCACAGCTACAGTTATTATTTACACTTTATCTGTATAAAAAAAGACTATCTTACACTAATTAATATACACATCTGAAAATATCACATGCATTTGATTTACAAAGGAAAACGTGTAGAAAAAAACAGAAACGTTTACACTGGGAGGACGGGGTTCAAAGTCGATGTAAAGATTTAAAGGACCAATCTGTAAGAAAAGCTCTGTATCTAGTGAATTATAAAGTGACCTTACTATATGATCAGACATTAAGGAAACATGCTATGTTGAAGTCTCTGACAGTAATTGAATTGACTCCCGGGACAAATAAAGTTTTTTGAATTGAATTGAAGTAAAGCAGGGGTGTCCAAAGTGCGGCCCGAGGGCCATTTGCGGCCCTTGAGGGGATTTTTTGCGGCTCGTGACTTCAAATGAAGAATCAGAAGATTTTGATTAAGATCGGCACATTATCTTATTTTTCTTTTTCATGTTAACAAGCGCTGAACAATATTCCTAAAATAGAAAATGTTCAGTAACGTGTATGTTGTTGTTTTTTTAAATCTACAGCTTTTACTATTTTCCAAATTTTTTTGTAAACTATGAAAAAAACTTATGTAAAGTTTTTGCAAACAAGCCGACTGTTGTTTAACCATTTAATGACCTGAGCTAAATGCAGAAAGCTTTTCCAAAAACATGAACCACGTTACAGACTTGATTCTGAGAAAAAAACAAATAAAGTAGAACGAAGAAATCTAAATATTTGATTTCCTTTTATTAAAGGGTTTCTTTAGCGAGCCTTTTGATTCTGATCTACAAAGCCTTACTATTTTTAAAACTATATTTTAAAAAACAAAACCTGTGGCCCGCGAGCGATTCTAACACGACAATTTTGGCCCGCAAGAAAAAAAGTTTGGACACCACTGAAGTAAAGTAATCTTAAAGGACCAATCAGGACCTACTCAAAGGACCCGTGAGAAATCTTATGTTTTAAAGAGGGAAGGCTTTGTTGAGATAGCTATATGTACTGAATCTCTAAGGGCTTTGTTTCTTCCTTATTGATCCCTCAGGATACCAATGATGAAGACGTGTCTCTGTTTGATGCAGAGGAGGATGCAGGGAAAAGGTCGAAGAGGACGAATATTAAGTAAGTTAACAGATGACTGATCTCTATTTAGAGATTCTACATAAAAATGTAGATTCTGTACTGAGGGTGGGAGGAGGGGTCTGGGTTTTCAGCATGGGGAGAACTTGTTGTTTTTAGGTTTATAACTCGTTTGTAGTCCGAGCTGTAATGATCTATTACGAATCAGCAGGCTTTGGTGTATACAGGATAAACAGACAATCCTCGCTCATGATATTCTGCTTCCTCATCAGCGGTATTCTGAAGAGTTATTCGTCTCTGAAAACGGATATCTCCACAACACTACATCTAAGAATCTGTTAGAGATCAAACAGTTCAACTAGAGCAACAAATCTGCTTGACACCAAGTCATGAAAGCCAATCAGCATTGAGATTCTCAACTACCTGAAATGCACCAGAAACGATTGATCCAATCGCAAGTCAACAAACAAACAAGTTATTTTCTTCCCCTCTTGAAGACACACTTGATTGATTTTGTCAGACAATTATAGTCGATCATTGCTGATTGGTTCTGACATCGACAGAGGGGACCACTGCTGTTCTGAAGGGAATGTGATAAAACAAGGTAGATGTGTAACAGTTTAGCAAATGGATTTTTTAGTAAATAGTGTCACCATATCAACCAATAATCAAAAAAAGAATCAGATTTTACAAACACTCAGTTGTTGCAGCTCTGTAGTCTGATATTTGAATATTCTGCCATTTAGATAAATCATCCTCGACATTGCATTAATCGTGTTTCAACGTGTTACCAGGCACCCAGTGGCCTCGTTCTTCCACCTCTTCTTCAGAGTCACAGCCGTCCTCGTGTACCTGCTCTGTGACATCTTCAGTCCGGGTTTCATCGGCTGCATGGTCACAATAATCCTGCTGCTCTCGTGTGACTTCTGGGCAGTAAAGGTTTGTCCTTTACTTTGTTCTACAGGATCAATATTCTCCAGTGAAACATCGTGAATCCCATGGTGACATTGATTTATGTGTAATTGCAGAACATCACAGGTAGATTGATGGTTGGTTTGAGGTGGTGGAACCAAGTAGACGACGATGGACGCAACCACTGGGTGTTTGAGGCGAGGAAGGTGAGAAGCTCAGCCAGTATGTCCTCCTTCTAACTTTAGATTCTGCTCCTGAATGCTCTGGATTTGTTTGGACCAGAGAAGGTAGGCGCTTTTAAGACACCCCCACTCGGCCGTTTTGGACGCCCCTCAGTTTGTCAGATATGAGAGCAGTTATCAGGTCAACAGGTGTTGCAGCGATGGAAGCGGTCAAGAGAAGTGGTTCAGATAGAAGTGATTGTACCCGACCTAAAAAGCCTCTGCATGTTTCTAATAAGCTCCACGAGCAGAAACGTGCTCAAACTAGGATCAATATTGGAGATGCTTTTGAAAAATGGAGAGAGGTTAGAACACAGAAAGGTTTACAGACCCATGCAGAGCTGGATAAACACTGAAGCTTCAGAGTCCACCACATGGTGACCTGAGTGAGCATCAACTCTAGAGAGGGGGGGGGAGAGACAGCTCTCTATGATGTTTAGAATTTAGACTGCAGGACCCGTTTTAAACACTAGGTGTCAGAGTTACATACTGCTCCTTTAAACTAATCTGACTCTGACCTGACGTACTGTGTGGGTTGATATATGTTCTTGTTTACAATCATCACGTCTTATAGTATTTGCAGATGTCCTAACTGTGAGAATATCCTGTTGTTCTTTTTCTTTTTTTTTTTCAGGCTTCTGGGAAACAACAAGCATCCGATTCTGCATCCGAGTCCAGAATCTTCTGGCTTGGTCTGATTATTTGTCCGGTCATCTGGGTCATCTTTGCATTCAGCACTCTGTTTTCCTTTGAGATAAAATGGGTGGTAAGTCCCCATTTAAACTTTTAAAAGTGGCATTATTGTTCTATTTTCAATGTCAGCAAATCCATGAAGAGGACCAAAACCATCGATGTGTTGGTCTCTTTAAATCAGGCCAGACAGCTCACTAATGGAAATGGCCATTTTGGCCATTTTGCTCATTGTTGGGACTATGATGAGCTGCTGTTTCATCAGTTTGGTGGTTTCTACGATGTGTTTAAAACTGTAGGACTCAGTACTACCTTGGCATTGTTTAAACACATGCAGGAAAAAATAGTTTGTGGTCAAGACAACAATCCCTCAAAGCTGTTTTATAAGGAACGCTTTCACAAATGCAATCCTTAAAATTTCTAGAGAATTTCAGGAGGATTTCCCCTGCAGACTTTCTGCAGAAAAAATACTTTGAGCTCAGTGCGAAAAAAATCAGGAATATTTCTGGAGTTTTGTGCAAGTGTGAACCGACAGCTTCAGCTCACTACACTCACTTGGA